CTAGCAAATTAAATAGGAAACTATTAACTGGAATTAGAGAATGCATAGTTATTTGGTAATTATCGTTTTATCAATGAATAAACTTTAAAAAGATTTAATGTACTCGTAATAATGTCTTATTATAATAAGTTTTTTTTATGAATGTCAGAAATATTTTATGCTTTGTTTACGTAGAACGGAACTTATATCATCGTGAGAGTAAATCATTTTTGTTTGTAAACAAATTATGTATGTTATTAAAAAAAACACCGAAATTTTGATATCATAAAAATAATAGATTTAGGGCATTAAAACTGAATTAAAATTACTATTATCTAGTAAATTTTCATCTCTCCTAGTTTCACTGTAATATTAATTACGAGTGCTTAATCGTACTATTAATTATAGATGTTATCTACATTAACAGTTATATATATATATTTGATAGTCATAATCATGAAACGTTAAATTATTTCAGTGACAACACTTTGAATTAAGTTATACCTAGAAGTCAAGTTTTGCTTAGCTGTGTTTTCTAATTAATGACCTTTCATAGGTGAAAACTTCCTTCTATTGTCTTTAGTCTGTTTAAACCCTTCACAAAACATCAGCTTATTCCATTGATAACGATTTAAGAGAACATGTACAACAATTTAGTTAACCCAATAAAGTTATCGATTGATTATTATTTTGTTTTTACGGAATTTAAGTGACGGGGCCTTATTGATAATAATTATAATCTGATTTATAATTGAAGGAATTCTTATTTTTCAGTAAATATATATCAAATCTTATGGATATTCTAATTTAAAAACAATTTACCAGTTGACAAATAATATTTAAGTTTGATGATCAATTCAATATTTGATGTTAATCATAGCAATGTTTAAAAATATTTGTTAAATTCTTATCATAATATTTATAGGTATTAAAATCGTATTATAAATTACGATTTACGAAAGTTAAAATTAGAGTAGAAAAAATTTTTAGTCATTAAGAAGAAACATAATGTTAATTAAGAACAGTGATGGATTTATAAATTAACAATAACAGGAAACATTTTAGTTGAAACCACTTTCTAAAAAATACCTAAGTTTCTTCTAAAATACATATCATTAAAGTGTTTATTATTATTTTTCTATAATTTTTTTTTTTATAGAAAATCACTTTTGTAAAATGCCATGCAATTATTTTTAATAACGCATAATATTTATCACAATATTAACGAATAATAGGGGCTCCATCGGTCTCGGGAAAATTATTAATTTTATCACGTGATACATTGAGCAGTTGGCATTGTATGTTATTAAGCTCAGAATATATGGCGTTTGGTAGGAATACACGTTTTAGGAGTCTAACGAATACTTTGGTTTTTTCCTTGTTCGCTGTGAGCCCAGATAACATCTTCCTTTCGGATGGGTGATATCTAAGCATGAGGTCTCTTTATGTGTCTTGTGACTTTCCATAACGAATAATCGATTTATATTTTGCAGAGAGACCACATAAGTATGATTTTAACGTTTCATTTTTCATTTCTTTGATTTTACCATGAAATTTTATCATGCATACACGGTTCCATTCGATTTTATCTGTCGGGTGACGTGTACTATGCCATACTTTTCTCGCATCTTCTCGCATGAATCTGGTACCTAAATATTCAGTAAGCTCTTTTTCATCTTCTTTAAATCGTAGTGGACAATATACAGCATATATTAAAAGATCATTATTGCTGTCATCGATACAGACACTTAATTAAAATTAATTAAAATGTACATACAATTATGTACGGTTACATAATTTTAAATGTAAATTTTTTATTTATTATTTTAATTAAATGTTCAAAAATTAATTTTTTATTTTTCTTAATTTTGATTGCATATTTTTTTCTGTAATGTATATTTTAATACATATACTACATATACTTGTGTATGTTAAAGATTATTTAGCGCATATTTGGTTGGTTATTAATGCATATAAATCCGCCTTATAGTGATGAGGGTTGAAATTTTAAGTTTTTTACAGTTTTTCTCCGTTTTACTCACAAAAAGCATACACCATCAAATGATCTGAGGTAAAGCAGTAAAATAAATGGAAATTATTAATACAAACACATTAATTATACGAAAATAGTTTATTACTCAAAAAAAAAAAAAAAAAATAAGAAAAAAATTTCAATTAGTAACAAAAAATAAAGTTGTGTATTATTCATAAACATGCATATTTAAGTGAATATTTTGTGTCCAAAATTTGGTAGGACGAAAATGATCTAGAAAAAAATTATTTTTGATTAATAATAATAACAAAATATGTTGTTCCTCATTCATTTAGCTTACGTTGTGCCTTACATATTCAATAATCTAATTTATATCAGGTTTCTAAAAATTGGGCAACCTTATTTAAATACGTCTTGTACATGAATTTGTTCTCTGTACGCAGATGCTCGACTTGTTGTTTATTTAACGCTAGGAAAGAGAAAACAAAATTAGCATACGTGTTACCGATTTATGAGTATATACCAGGGGTGGCCAACATGACTATGTACGCGAGCCACATGTATTAATAAAATTATATCAAGAGCCAAATTATCTAATGTGTACTTTTATACCACAAAAGTAATAAAGATAGCAAACAGCCGATAAACATATCAAATTACGAAATATGAAATTATATCGTTTTTAATATAGTCTGTAGTCTGTGTTGAATAGTCCTATTGTAAACACCTCAATTTTTTTTTGTAAAATATTTGTAATATTTAATAATTATATTTGTAATATTTTACCGATACTTATTGCGAAAGTTAGTTACAATGTCAATTTCTAATAAAGCGGTTAAACGTAAATATGAAGAAGAAAAACGGGAATTTAAATTAGAATGGGAAGAACTATACTTTTTCATACAGAAAAACGATAAACCATTTTGTGTCATATGTCAAGTTACATTATCACAGTTTAAGGTTAGTAATTTAAAACGGCATTACGAAACCAATCACAGCACATTTAGTCGAGAATTTCCTATTGGTTCTGATTCGAGGAAAAATAAGCTATGTTCGATGAATACCACGCAAACAAAATTAGCTTAATGTTTAATTTTTTAATTTATTATTCATATTAATTAATTTTTTTTTTTTTTTGATTTAATCTATATTCTATCCACTATAATACTAAAGCCTTAAATAAATACAATAAAAACATTTTTTTATAAATGTATACAAAAAAAATTTAAATATTTTGGTTTTTGTAAATAAGACCGCGAACCGCATACAACTGTGACGAGAGCCGCATGCGGCTCGCGAGCCGTGATTTGGCCACCCCTGGTATATACACTGAAAGTTCTTTAGTCACATAGATTATCCAGTTGCACCAATTTCGAAGTTTGAAACTGGTATTCCTCGTACGTGAGTATCGTTCTAAAAACAATAACACATTGTCAACGTAAAATAGTCGCTATTACTTATAAAACAATTGAAATAATTTAGTACGAAAAAAGCCTGGAACTTTACTATGGGAATCTAAAATGAAAGTCGAAATGAACACGCTTTGAATACGTCTTAGGTACTTTTAATAACATGGAGACATAGAATTTCAACGTCATCCGTGGATGATAAAATACTTATAGCAGAAATGGTAATAGTATTGTAATACGTAAGATAGAGGTTCAGACAGTTAGGTTTTTTGTCGATCGATACACTTTCGTATTGTATTCGACTGAACCCCTCGTCCATTGCCATTGGCAAACACTGCAGTGCACGGAAAAGTCAAACGAAAATAAAATGTATTAATAAATTAAATTTATTTTTATGTAAGGCGACAGATTTCTACAGGGCCCTCACAGGGGGGGGGCTGATGGACCCTGAGTAAAGGGGCCAGTTGAAATTTATTTGTAATTTTTGAAATTTTAGTAGAAATACTTATTTTACATTAAATAATATTGTGAAATAACATTATATATATATATTTAGTTATTTCGATAGTTCAAAATGCAGATTAATCAATGATTTCCTAGAAATTATCTTGGTTGCTGTTTACGTCTTCCTTATCGCTTATAAGTAATATTAAATTATTATTATCTCGAATTACCTAATGAAGAATTGGAATTGAAAACAAAATCACTTGTACAAAAATACAAATCTGATTCATCTGAAAATATGTGGCAAAAAATGCTACATCTGAAAACTATATATTCTTCAACATTTCAAAAAAGCAATGTAATGTCACTACTCGAACTATTAAATTCCATTTACGCGAAAAATGAACAAACAATTTTTGTAAACGTGTGTATTAGTCTCGGAATATTTTGTACTATTCCAGTGACTGTAGCAGAAGCAGAAAGATCTTATAATAACTTGGGAAATTCACTGAAGACGTGGCAAAGAGCCACAACTAATCCATGATAAAATAATTAATATAAAATTATTAAAAATATTTATATAAAATTTATTTTATCATGAACTAATCGAGAACGATTAAACTCACTTGCTCCTTTATCTATGGAGAATGAATTGGCTTCGACAATCAATTTTGACGATATCATTACCGAGTTCGTAGTGCTCAAAGCCCACAAAATAAAATTTTAACTTAAAAAAAAAATAATTAAATATAAATTAAAATATACTTCTTTTGTTTTTTTTAATTTAAATAATATTGTAATAAAAAAATAAAATAGACATTATCAATGTTGAAATGCTTATGAATCTTGAATTCGAACTGGTATAATAAAAAAACAAATATTATTCCTAAAATTGTCATATATATGTAGTAAATTGTATTTTTGGAAGTTTTATAAAGAGCCCGGACAACCATTTAGTATAGGGGCCCGTAATTGTATGTGGGGGCCCTGGGTTTCTATATCATTCTTATCACTTACAGTAGGTATTTTAAAATCCCGTAAAACTAATATTGATTTTTAACCAATATATGACATTTTTGCTGTCCCGGGGGTCGATATTAAATATTGTAGACGTCTCACGTTGTTATACATTTATGTATTATTATTATTATGTTATGATATCGCGTAACGCGTACTTGGACTTTATCTATATTCTTCGGTACGTGCAGAACCACCTTGGACGCAACCGCACGTGCCATCCGAATAATAGCTGCCATGCCACCAGTTTCACGTCCACAAAGGTCTCTGGCATCAAACTTTGCCTGCTTTTCGTACCCGGGACCACCCCACGGCGGTGAGGTAACAACAGCATCCACCTTGAGGTTAGCGGCCACCAAGAAAGAATTTCCCACCCGAAAATCTATCCGGTGGGCCACTTCGTAAACCTTTGCGTTTTTCTTGGCCAAAGCTATTTTCTTTGGATCCAAGTCGATGGCAATAACTAAAAAAAAATACGGAGTACATACTGGCTGCGTAATCGTGTGGAAAAAGATTCACATCGTTAGAAAACGAATTCGTGTAGGTTATATTATAACTTACCCTCGTCGAGTATAATTCCCTCGTCAAACCTTGAAAATAGTGAAAACCGCAGTTTCCAATATTTATAGATGTGGTTTAACGTCGATTCCTGAGAAAATAACAATTCAATCGGTTTAATATCTATGGACGTGAATGAACGATTGTGCATATGCTTTCGATTGATTTATTTATACGTGCGTTGGTAGTACGATTTTAAATGTTTTATTTTTTTATTTTTTTTTTATAATGTTCGCTTCTTTATACTTCGATAATTATTCTTATAAATACTAAATAAGATAACTCAATTAAAGAGGGTCGGGGATGGTGATGGTCAGAGGTGGATAGGTAGTTTTTTTGTTACAGGGAAATATTTTAATGAGGCCACCAATATGAAAAAAAAATTTTCTTTTAAAAAATGTATTATATTTACTCATCCTAATTTAATTTAACTAATTGAACTATAAAAAAAAAAAAAAATAAATTTCCATGAAAAAATTAATGGTATCGAGAGGGCCACCGACATAATATAGGGCGAGGGCCCACAGGGAAAGTCCCTTTTTCCCTATGGGCCTATCCGCCCCTGGTGGTGGTGTTAGTGGTTTCTTCTATCGGGTTGGTCGTAAAAAGGAAACTGCAATCGACCGGGCTTGACGAAAGGGATGAATAGAGTTTGACACTTATAATTTCAAACAAAAAATTCCGGAAATATGGAACACATATTGTTGTTCATTGATATGATAAGCTACTACTCAAAGAAAGACGCGCGTATACATCGATAAGATGACCACCTCCATACAGATTTTTACTGTAATTCTATAAGTTTTTCGAGATACTCAATGATTTTTATTTTCTCTTTTCGCGTCACACATTTATCGCGGGATGAAATCATTACTAGAAACCTGCCCTAAATCGGCCGGTACTATAATCGTTCTCACCTGGCTATCAGCTTTTGACGAGTTAGGTTCCGTACTGGGGCAAGAGGTACTATCGGCCGTCGGTGTCAGGGCTGCAGGCTCTCTCACGGCTTTGTCTGCGGGGACCATTTGCGCCATTTCGTCGGCCATCGTCCGCATCCTATTTTGCACCACCGCGTTACACGTCTGTGCGAGACCGTTCACGTACTCGACGTCGACGCCTAACGCAACATGACACGTGGCCACGTCAGCCGTCCACGTAAACGGTCTCATCACCGGACGTGACATCGCTAGTGGCCGGGCTCGCCTGGACGTATCCGTCCGGGTACGATACCTCAAAATGGCTACACACGACGTCAAGTGTGGCCACTCGAGTGCGGTCGACTGAAACTTCGATGGTGGCAGTGACGGTTGCAGACACTTCGTTTGTCTGCGTGTCAGTGTCGGCTGTAGTCGCCGGGTAGCGAAGACGATCCGAAGGGATCTGTCGTCCGTCTTGTCTCTATTGCAGTGCTCCGGCAAGTCATTTCCGATGCGCGAAACCACGGCGAGCTAAAGCGGGAAAAGCGTGAAGAAATGTGTGAAAACATTAGTAGATCGACCAACACTGTCGGCATCTCTCGCGAATCGAGAGATTCAACCGTACTTTCACCATAGTCGTCCTCTGTCATTGTGCTCCAAAACTTTGGCCACCCGCAGATGATACAAAACACTAATAAGGGCCACGCTTCCGTATCCGAGATCGCATCAGAACCGCGACGGCGTTCAAAAGCGCAACGACGACCGGAACTGAAAAAACAATACGCGTCCTACATTCGGTCTCATGTCGGATGTGATAGCTTCGCGCGGCAGAGGAACACAATCGTTACGATTAATTTTATGATATAATCGTGTTGTTCCATTTACCTCGTTGTCGATCCCATTTTTTTTGGATATCTTGGTATATTAATCAGGAAAATGATTTTTGATAGTAGTGTTCACATAAAGCATGAACATTGTTGAATGATTTTCGTTTGATTTGCAGTTATAGTTTAGTTGCGATATATTTGTCTGGTAACGTTTAAAGCCAGTTGCATAATCAATATTGTTAATGGCCAATTTGGTAAAAAAAAAAAACAACTTGAAATTAAATTGAGAAACTAAATAAAAACGAATAATAGTATATAAATGAATATAGAACTAGTAATAGGGGTCCCATCTAGAGATGATCAAAATTGGTCTTGGTCTTTCGGTATCGCAAGACTCTTGCTGCAAGATCAAGATCAAAACCAAGACGGTACTGGTCTAGTAAGACCAAGACCAAGATTAGGCTTGCAAGAACAAGACCAAGATTTTTCATGTTTATAATTATTTCAAAACGTTGGCTGGTGACAAAGGTAAGCCAGAACTTAGTAATTTCTTTCGTCAAACTCGCGAAATGACTGCCGAAGCGTGTGGCGTAAGTCTTGCTTGTGTTAAACGAGTTTGCGCTGAAGGGAAAAAATCATCTGTGGGTGAAAATCGACAAGATGCCGAACCTTCTTTATTTAAGTCTCCACGAAAAAGTTATAAACGTGCCAAACCTATGACCAACTTAGACGATTTTGACAAAGAAGTTGTCAGAAGAACAGTTCATAGTTTTTATGATAATGGTCAGTACCCAACAAGTGCAAAAATAATGAGTGCATTGCATGAAAAAATCAATTATTCGGGTTCACAATGGTCTGTGCGACATATTTTGCGTAGTTTAAATTTCAAATACAAAAAATGTAATGATGGGCGTAAGTTTCTAATGGAAAGAAATGATATTGTTTGTTCTCTGGTTAAATTTTTGAGAAAAATGAACGAGTTCAGACGTAATAACGACACAAGGCCAATAGTTTACTTGGACGAAACATGGGTAAACCAAAACCATACGCGAGGGCACATATGGCAAAACTCCGACAACACCGAAGGATTAAAAGTACCCATTGGAAAGGGCGGTCGGCTTATTGTGTGTCACGCTGGGTCACCTTCATTTGGTTTTGTCAAAAACTCAAAACTGGTTTTTCGTTGCAAGTCGGGATCGCAGGTAGACTATCATTCTCAAATGAACGCGACCATTTTTCATGAATGGTTTATAGATATGTTGGGCAATTTAGAAGAACCTTGTATAATCGTGATGGACAATGCCACATACCATTCTACCTTAACAGAAGATTACCCTAAGGCAAATACTCGAAAGGCAGATGTACAAAAATGGTTACAAAACAAGTCTGTGGACTTTTCTCCAGTAGAGACATTAAGCGAACTACGTGAAAAAGTCAAAAAGTCGATGCCAAAGGAAAAAAAATACAAGCTGGACGAAATTGCACTGCAAATGGGCCATGAAGTGGTAAGACTTCCTCCTTACCACTGTCAATATAACCCGATTGAATTAATCTGGGCGCAAGTTAAGGGTAAAGTCGCGGAAAAAAATAACACCTTCAAAATGTCAGATGTAGAAATATTAGTAAATAGTGCTTTAAATGCAGTAACAACAGAAGATTGGACAAAATGTGGTGAACACTGTAACGAAATTCAAGAAGACGATTTGATTAAGGAAGGTTTAAGAGACGAAATTTTGGAGCTTATTATTATCACAATTAATCCTGACGATAGTTCTACTGACGAAGACGATGATGAAGATGATTAAAAAATTGTATTTTATGTATTATTTGTATTAAATATATTATTTGTATTTTATTATATAAAAAAGTCTACATTACGTCGTTTGAAATTATTTTAGGCGGGAAAACAGTTGGAGTAGCCCTGATGAAAAACGGCCACTTGGCGCGCATCGATCGCGGCTCACTTTTCGCCTCGTGTACTATAGTTAATTGCTACATTCAAAAGCTTATCTTATCGCACGTTGATGTGCTTGAAAAATAACCAGCACATTTGTCGACCGAAATGCGTGGTATAACGAACGTTTGTATACATATATTTATATTATATAAAAAAAAAGTGGTTTTTATAAATGGAATTTAAAATAATTGATAGTAATAAAGGGGGCAAGTGTTTAATATTTGACGATTTTAAGTATAGAAATTATTTAATTGTGAACATTACATATAAATATTACATTATTACATTATAAAATGTGTGGTTTTTGGTTACAAGAATTTAAAAAAGTGTGCGGTTTTTGGAGTCGTCGAAGACCAAAACAAGACCATCACTGCAAGACTCTTGCAGTCTTGCAAATTTTATTTATTATAAATGTAATAGAAACTTACAAAGTTAATTAAGAGTATGCTAGTAAATTAATTCATCAAATAGGTACAAATACAAGTAAAATAATATAAACATAATATTTTAAAATGCAGTTTTAAACGAGTACCTATAATAAAAATTAAATTGTTTGATTGTTTTATATTATTAATATACAATATAATATAGGTAATGGATTTTGGTTTCATCTTAGAAGTCATAGTAAAAAATTTACACAGCTATAACAAGTAGATATTTAGTTTTTTTTTTATATTTAGTGAAAATAGCAAGAGTATTATAATAGTCTTGCGCAAGACCAAAACCAAAACCAAGACTGAGTTTGTAAGATTAGGACTAAGACCAAGACTGGGTCTACAAGACCAAGATTTTGAAAGTTTTGGTCTTGGTCTTATTTTGATCACTATTCTGACCGGTCTCGGAAAAAGTAGTAAACCGTCTTAAGACAATTGAGTTAAAATAGCCATGCCACCCATGAATTACAATTCCATTGTCATGAAAATTAGCCATAAATCTATATTACATAAATGGGTAGAGGTGGAACTAGGGGATGGAAGATGGGGATTCATCCCTGGGCGTAAAATTTTAGAGGATGTCATTTTTGTAATTATTAACAATTAATTTGATATTTTTAACTTTGTTAAATACTGATATCAGGTTAAAACTCAATAAGTATGATTGTATATTAATTATTAGAAAAAAAATTTTCGAGTGGAGTATTTGATTATTAGTCTATGAAAAGGTGTAATTCTAACATTTTCTCCGGGCGTAAAAATCCCTAGTTCCACCACTGTAAATAGTTACATATTATCATTGCATATAGAATTCTATTATTATTAAAATTATTCCTTAATCGATGTTATTATTAAATTAGATTGATATTATGAAATATTATTGGATATGAGAAGAAATTTAAAAGTTGATTAATATTTTTTGATGACTCTTTTATTGAGATTCAATAGGTATTTTGATTAACCTGTTCATTGTATCGTTTTATTTGTTTTGATTTTAATAAAGATAAATATTATTGTATATTTATTTTAATGTTTTGTATCTACTGTATACATTTACTGTTTGTATAATTTTATAGTTACACTTTTAGCTGCAGTAATTATTTTTATTTTTCATACTGTTATTGAACATTAAAAAGAATACTTTTTTTAAATTCTATTTATTATTTATGATTTGTACGAAAAATTAATAAAAAACAAACCATACATAAACTACCGTAAATTTGATATTTGAGTACTTAAAACAATCCCAATAAAGAAATGTAAGTTTTTCTACTTTTTCATTATCATTAATGCGAATTACGAACTGCTGTAAATTATTAATATAAATATGACAAATAATCATTAAACATTTTATAAATATTTTTATACTACATATATATTACATATATATAATAAATAATAAATTAATACATATAATATTCCAATGTATAATTTCATGTATAGTGTATAAAAAATTCTGTATAGTGTTTCCCTATAGTGTACATTTAGTAATTTTTCGCATATGTCCACTATGTAGAGGTTTACTCAATAGTGGATAACTTTCTTTAGTGGATATTTTTTAATTCCCCGTGGCTGTCCACTATATAGAGGTTTTTTTTAACCACTCCTGGTTATAAAACTAAAGATTTTGAGCGATAACACGATGTACAAACAGGATTTTTTGTTTAATTACTGTACGCTTTTATTTTCATATCAACTATTGGTTTAATGTCATTGGAATTAATCAATGTTATATAAACAAACGTGTGCCGGGATTATCCGCCGTCTCACCGTACATACAATTAATATTTCATGTACTGTAACTACAACAGTGCACGAGTTTCTGGATTACAACAAAATTTTAAATTATTGTTTACCGATAGCCAAACCGAACAATGTTCTGGTGATTACGATTTTTGATTGGATGTTTAATTTTTAATTTTCAATTTATTATTGTTGGGTTTTACAACTAGAAAACAACGGATAAGATTCAATAGAATCAATAGAATTTAATAAACATAAAATAAATGCATTTCGTAAATTGAACCATTACTCTGTACCGTGTCAGGA